TGGTATGATAACAATATTACTTAGTATTACTCTTTAGTGTTAATTTAGCTTTCAATGGTACCAAAGGCAAAGCCAATTTACAGTCTTGTCATCTATACATGATTTTTTGCAAGTGGAATGATGAAATTTATGCGGCATTATTTTGTTCCTTGCTTAATGTCGGAAAGAAATAAAAAAAATGTGTTCTTAAAATTTACAGCAAAAATTGGGTCAGTAAAATGTAGGTACTATTTGCCTTTATAAAAACAACGCTATTAAAATTGGATAGGACCTGCTAAACACATGTTAAAACATCAAAATATATTTGCTTAATTTTAAATTTAACATGTTCAACTAAAAGTACTTACCATGTTTTAACCATATTGTTTTGTTATTGTATCGGTTCGAGATCGGGCGACAATCCCAAAGTCACATTTACGTTGTACAAATAATTGATCAATTCATGTTTTTCAAATAATTGTAGTATTTATATAAATATATAATTTTGAAACAATACTTTCCGTGTGTTACTTTTGTTACTAAGCGAGTTATGTTTGAATTATTCAATTATTCAGTGTACTTTAAATTTAAATATCATTTTGTTATTGTAAAACGGACTGGTATGCGCGGATTTGTTATAAGACCCCTAAGATACCCATTCTACTAGGTTTGAACCATAAAGTATATATAAACATTAACACAGTAAGTTAACCAACTGGCGAATTGACGCTGTTTAATTCCGCTGCTTGTAGAAATAAATACCTAAGAAAATACAATCCTGTTTATATAAGTTTAAGGTTTAAATTATCCAAAAATATTATTGTTGCGTCTTTAACATATAGGGTGTAAAAAATATTAGCATTATTGTGTTAAAGCCAAATATGTTTAAAATAGTCCATTAAACAAAGACTTGTCTAGTATCCATCGTATTTAAAAATTATTATTATTATACCAAGGACTTTATTATTATTATTATTATTATTATTATTATTTATTTCAGTGGTGTCCATTTATAGGAACCACATCTCTGAAAAGGGGGAGGTCGTAGGAAAAAAAATTATTGTTATTTTTGTGTTGTTCTATCTGAATGCAGGAGATTGCCCACATAATCTGGGACTCCCTGTATATAGCTTTGTTTCTTGATTTTTTTACATATGTGAGTTACAGTATATACATTTATATAAAAAAATAAGTGTGTTCCAATGAATAAACATTTCTTAAAATATATCTATGAAGGTACTTCAGATCTGTTTCAATTAATATCAAACGTAAAAATGTAAAATAATAGTTAGTCCATTATATTATAAATCTATTTTGCTATTAAAAATATTAAGTATCAATTATTACAAGGCACATTTTCAAAAAACAAAAATCTGTTCCAGTAGATATTTTTAAAGAAAATTATAAGTATACTCTACACATTTTTGTCAAGAATCTGTGCACCATTTTTGTAAATATTTGGTGTTTATTTATTTTCTAGCATTTCTACTTTTTTCTCAATAAACAGAGGGCAGAAAATATGTTTTGTGCCTTATAGGTAAATAGGGTTTAAAATCAGTCGAAAATAAAGACAAAATGTAATATTTGCAGCCAGTTGCAAGAACGTTCATTAATATTTATGGGCCTGTGTTTAGCACGTCATCTACTTTTAGATTAGAGATAATGTGATTAAATTAACTGACCTGGTTGTCAAATAATTGAAATCTGTATCACATATCAAATCAACTAGTACTAATGGAATCAACGAATCAGATCATAGTTCCAAATGAGAAAGGACGACGGATCGTACGTAAAAAAGAATCCGTCGGGTAGAAGCTGACAACGGTTTCTTTCTACCCCTTCTAAATATCCAGCAAGTATTTGGCAGGCGAATGTAGCTCTGTCACTGTTTACACATAAGACAGAAGGCAAACGCTAATTTTCCGGAAATTCGTCGGCAAACTAATATTCCAAAAAGGCCACAGTTATGAACGATGCACATAGGGGTATTTGAATTATCTATCCGGCCAAAAGTCCGTTTTACAAAACGACTACCTGGGTTAGAGGACTAGTTAGAGCACATTATCCATCCCTTCTCGTTTTCCTTCTATGCACCCCGCTTCTTTTTTTTTTGAGAAGAGACCGATTACTCTTCTTCTACCTGGCAGAATTTTTTTTTATTCTTTCATAAACCCCATTCCGTAACAACAAAAACCCGCTCGCGTTCGCTTCTTCTTTGAGTTTATGTTCGAAACAAACGAAGACGACATCTGGAAAGCATATCTACGGAATTAAAGGTACCGGCCGCCGTAACATACGATTCGTATGTTACGAAACAGACACGCCAGAACCAACAGAAGTTCTATCTGCAGCCGCTACCCAAGAATCCTGGGTATATCTGTTAAAGAATTCAAAGATCACCAAAGAATTAGAACAGAATAAACTCGCTGTCAGTAGCACTCTGCGAAAACGTTTGGTTTCGTTCCTGCGACGCATAAATACAAATTTGGCACGTAAACCGCTTGGTGAATTAGCGCAAACGACAATGACATCCCTACCCGCCGTTACCCTTGAGCCAATAAAAACCCACGATTGGAAAGTCTTTTTTGGAAACCGAGATGATCCAATAGCTTTTCTAGAAAGACTAGACGAGATATGTGCCGCAAAAGGAATTGATAAAGACCGACTGCTGCCATGTTTGCCTGAACTACTCTCCGGGGACCCCGCGTTATGGTTCCGAAGTAATCGTGTCTCCTGGAATACCTGGGAAGATTTTGAAACTAGTTTCCGAACTCTCTTTTTCTCAATTAATTATCAAACCGATTTAGAGATAGAAATAAGCCGAAGATTGCAGCGACGAAATGAGAGCGTAACCAGCGCCATTAGTAAGCGAGAAAACCCCTTACAGGACATATAATTGATCCGTAAAACTATGACAAATACGCATTAGATGTTGCTCGCTTATATGTGCAGCTGTACCCTTGGCATCCAATGACACCAACGATGCACAAAATACTTATTCATGGTGCAGTTATAATAGAAACTGCATTGTTGTCTATTGGGCAGCTGTCTGAAGAAGACGCGGAAGCACGTAACAAGCATTTCCGCTCATACCGCCAAGACTTCGAGCGAAAATTCTCTAAAGAAAATTGTAACGGATATTTTTAATCGCCTGCTTCTAAATTCAGACACCCTCCTATGTAGCATGAGGAACGTTAAATGAAAAAAAAAATGAAATCTTTTTTGCCAGAAACAATTAATTTACTAATGTCTGCAAATCCGCTTAAAGCTGGTAATTCTTCAGAAAGCGAAGATGAAAATTTATACGAATAATGTTAGATAAAATTGTATATCTATATTTTTTTATTAATAAATATAGGTTAATTAAACATTAAAACCTTTGTCTTATTTATTAATATTGTTTAGAATTGATATAGATCAAAAAATAATTTTGGACGTATAAATCGTTTAAATACCCCTATGTGCGATGGCTATAGGATACAGCCTGAATTTTAGAAACTATGGGTCGTACAATTTTGGGAAAAAAATTTAAATGGAAAAGGGGTCAAGCGAAATTGCTAGAAATTAATTTCAAGTTTATAACTTCGATACTATATGGCTAAATGCTTATGACCAATAATAAACAGATAAACCAATGGGAGTCAAAATGTATTAAAATTTCGCACAGTTTGCGATTTTTATATTTTTGACACAGCTTAATTTGGCATTTTTTTAAATAAAAAAAGTTTCTATCGTTGGCGATTTGCATTTTACCCTCCAGCAGTGAAGGGAATAATTTCCAGCAACTTCCAGGACTTTGTTAAGAAAAATATCTCAATTTCTGTTTCCTCGATATAGCCTGCGTCCTTTCTTATTTAAACACCAGCATATTGTATAAAAACTAAAAATATAGCTGATACTGTCTTTCAAAAAATATAAAACATCGCTTCAATTTTATTATCCTATGTTTTTAATTAATTTTGCTTAGAGCAGGGTCTCCAACATTTCCAGCTTTAGAGTCATACCTATTACTTCAGTAAGTTCCAATGTCTGAAACCATTATAATAGAGGAGACCCTGAGAGATCGACCTTCACTCATCTGATAACCAGATGAGACATATTTTTTACGAAATTTTATTGATTTATCAACACGCCTATGGGAACTTGCCATTCGAAAAGTGTTCATGGCTATTTTTAATTAAATAATTTTTTTATAACCTTCACATTTTTGAACAAATCTAATTTTAACGGATAGTTTTTAACATGCGCATGCTCTTTTACATGTGATTGACAGAGACAGTGCTTATTTGTTGTTGAAAATTACTTTGTAACAACACATGTTGAGTGTTATTTGTAATTGGGAAATAAAAAAAATGTGGTTAAAAAAATCTCTTCTTGATTTTGATGATAATTCACTTCGAATATGTGCTTTAATATTGGTTTTACGTAAAAAGCAAAACTTCAAATATGGAAGCATCCAATTAAAAATAGCCATGAACACTTTTCGAATAGCAAGTTCCCAATTTCGTAAAAAATATGCCTCATCTGGTTATCAGATGGGTGAAGGTCGATCTCCCACGGTCTCTTAGACTATTAGCTGACGTAGGCTGCATTGATGCCACTGGCGGGCAGAAATTAGCCCGCAGTTTGGAAACCCTTAAGATTATTATAGACATCGAAATTGTGAACAACCTGTACAATTCATAAGAGTGAAAGAGATGGAAAGTGAACAAATTAATTTACTTTCCAAAATATGCGTGCTTAAAAATTTGTATGATTCAGTTTATAATAATTTAGGAGCCAAAATAATATTTGAAAATGGTTTTCAACTATTTCTTGATTGTTATTACTATTTTCAAAACTGTGTATAAAATTGCATGGGTTTCCTAAATAGTTAAAAATGTTTCTTATGCCGTAGGCTTACAGTCAAAATCAACCAGTTCTTCGTCCAAAGGCCATCAAGGTTTCTACTGAGGCATCTATAATATCTTGAGGTATCAGAAGAACAATCGATGAGAATCATTTTTAAAGAATTGTTAATCCTCAATTTTAAACAAATATTTAATCCAAATATTATTTTGTTCTTCCCCAAATTAAACCAAATTAATTATGTCAAAATCGCTTTAGCTAATTTACAAAGCACGTCGATTCTTTCTTTGTCGTTTCCTCCAAATCAGGAAACCAACAAGTAAAACGACTAAAGTTATACAAAGTAAAGTTATAATTACAATTAAAGCTACGCTAGACCCGGCATCTGTAGCAGCTGTATTCACGACATATAAAAGCCCAAATATCGCAACAGTTTCTTCTTTACTTAATATCATTTCATTAGTATTATTGTTGTAAATGAAATCGATTGGCGAAATGTTTGGTCCCAAAGCTAAAGGTAAACTCTGAAACGTTTGTGATCTATCGACGTTTGAAGAAATCGTTATATTTTTGAAAGATTTTAGGGCGTTTGCTGACGGTGCCACAAGAGCGCAAAGGAAGATGTCCACTTCTTGGTCCAAAATGAATGTTTTATTTGCCATTGCAATCCACCTAAAAAATAAATAAAAATAATTTCCAATTTGTGGAAGAGACAACAGATTACAAATCAAATAAATCCAATTATAATTAATTTTGATGACGATAACGCCTTATCAGATTTAGAAGAATAAAATACAAAATAAAGCATATATTTGGAAAAGATATAGTTAAAAACATTTAATATTTTAATTTATTTGTTTAAATAATTGTTTGTTTATATAAATAAAATAAATTTAATGATAACTTTTTACTTTTACAAAAAAACATACAAATGTATCTCTAGTTTAACACCGGGAATGGTACCCTTTGAGGGACTAAATTGATTTCGCGACAGAAATTAAACTTTCTTTTAAAAGTAAAAAAATCAAGATTATAAAACTATAATAACTTGAGCGCTACAGGGTGAAATTGAAAATTTAGAACAAATTAGGCACATACTAACTTAAAATCGTAAATATGATTAAAAATAAAGTAGGAAAACATGAGACTGAAAGATTATTAAACACTATCATTAATATTAGTAACAATACTTACTTGTATAGTCCAATTGTATCGTTTGTTAATTCTGCTTTAAACTCACAACAATTTTTCGAGTCAATACATTTTTTTAGACTTTTACTTGTATCATTTAAAGCCGAAATATTCATGTATTGCAAATTCAATTTGGTTATTTCTCCTACGAGGCGAGATTGTACCTAGAAAAGTATAAAACTTAATAAATAATTGAATATATTAGTGGATAAAGAGTCTATGTACACATTTTTTTAAAAATCAACGTTTTGCCTTAAATGAAGGGCCTATGTACCTACCTAAAATTACTTCTACGATATGTTATGATATTCTTTCAAATAAAGATGTTACCAAACTCAAATATCTCTAAAATAATATGTTATTGTTACATAGACCCTTTATCCACTTATGTCTTCAATTATTATTTCAATACATTTGTACAATATTTTTCCTAGAATTGCTGGTAATAAGATTATTATCCAAATTAATTACTTACTCGCACGGGAAAGACTGAGGAACCCTTTATTGGAATATCAGCTTGCAAAACCATACCGCTTGCAGCATCTGATTCTGGACCGTCGGGCTTAAAGGCAACTGTGCTTGTGCCATTAGCATAATAAATTCCCGATCCTCCATAATTGTCATACTCGCTATTAATATTCTTTTCGTAATAACCCGAAACCAATAAATTTATTCCATTAGAAATTGCAAATCCCTGGTAGATACTAAAACCTAATAAATGTACAATTCAAAAACAATGGATATAACAAGTTCTTTATAGCATTAAAAAATGAAATGTATGGCAATTATCTGGTATTATATAGTAAAGAATTAAACTATAACGAAATTGAATAGAGAAATTTAAAAAATTAATATTAGAAAATAGGAATAATATATTACAAATATTTGTCACGTAGACGTGATGTTCATAGCTAAAGGGTTGATCAAATAAAAGTATAGGAAATAATTACACTATGAGTGATATAATCCATTAAACACATATGACCGTACATGCATACAAAACACAACTCACCAACATTTAGAGGAAGAACATTTTTGATCGAAGAAGTCATTATTACATTTTCAGTTTTAATAGCTGCTGGAATTGGATGGACAACATCGTTACCAAATAAGACAGTAAAAGGGACATCACCGTGTTTTTTAAATTTAGCTGTGAACGTACATGATTTTTCGTCAGTATTATTTTCAAAATTAGATCCATTTACTAAGTGACTTTTTCGACATCTGCAAAAATAAAACATAAATTATAAAAATATTAAGGAATCATATTTTAGACCAAAATTATTACTTCAAGCTAAGAAAGCCATCAGGACCTAATCCAACGGTCGTTAAATAATACTTTTCGCCTTCCATTTCTACCAAGTTTGCAATAACGTAAATACCATTGTCCTTTGCTGCACAAGCTAGTTTCACTATATTCTCCTAAAAACGGTTATTTAGAAAGTTTGAGATAGTAATAAAATAGTTTGGTTTTCCCCTTACCTGTAGATTATGTTTAATGCATATTTCACTGCTTACATTGCCTACTTTTGAACTTATTGCAGACAAAAATTCTTTAAGTTTATCCTTTGGTCTTATATTGGTCAGTCCAAATTCTGGAAATACTAAAATATCCACCTAAAAAACCCATTGATTACATAAATTATATTCCTTCGAAATTCCTAATTAAATTTAAATGTAACTAAATATACATTTGAAAAAGCCGCAATTTGTTAGAAACGGTATGTATTATTTAAAAATTATATTTGGCAAATAAAAAGTTGTACAAAAACATGGCCTTTGCTTATAATAGCTCAGGCATATCCAGATTCAAACATTTTTAATCAAATAGTTTTTTAAATTCATCAATAATTTTTAATTAAAAGCTATTTTATATCATATATATTACTATCAAGTTCAAGGACAGCTTGAAGTGGTGGATAAAGAATTTTCTTATTTCCTAATTCGAGAGACGCTTAAATGGTGGGACCCAGCTTATCGAGACTGAGGCCCACAAGGGTACACTCGTAGCTTAACAAAAACGAGAAATAATTTAACTTGGAACGAAATATCGAAAGCCGATAGTAGTATTAGCACGTTGAATTTTTTGTTTTGTGAAGCATTGGCATTACTTAAGTTAAATCATGTGATGATTCACAAGCCTTGATTTTTAAAACCATTTTATATCGCCTTTTGATTAGGGTTTAAAAACTTGTTCGAGCAATTTATCCAATAATAATTGGCCCCTTTACCTCTTAAGCCTGCTCATGTAAAATATTTCTTACTTCGCCTATTTATATTCTATTAATAAAGGACAGAAGGATGAGTATTGCAACTATGTTAAAAGAAATAAATTGACTTTCAGTTCAGAATTATGTTTAGTATATGACTGATATTTATTTATAAAATAAAAATGACATAGTATCATCGCATCAGATCTATTAGAAAAAATTCAATATAATTCGCAATATCACAACTATAATACAAGAAGCCAATCTGACTTTCATGTACGGCAAGCCATCACTAAAAGTTCCCAAAATACCATTTTTATTAAAGGTTTAAAAAATTTAATAGACTGCCTACAGAAATTTAAAAAAAAAAAACAATAAATGTATTCAAAAGTAACCTCAAACAATACTTGATAAATAAACAGATCGGATATACTTTCTTGTCATAATACTCTTTAAACCTGCCCTTTTTAAGTATTTCCCTTAATTTATTGTTATTTTACCCCTCGTTTTATCTGCATTTATTATAGATTATTTCTTTCGAGATCACGTACTTTATTTTAAAAAATTACTTGATGTTATATTAATACCACTTACTATGTTTAAATTCTTAATGGTTTTGTGAAGATAGGTTATAGCAACTTATAGCCACAAAACTATTTTTGTGTTAAAGTAGATCCATAAAGAGCAATGTAACTTACAAAGGCCTTCTTTCAACATACAAATAAATGAAAACTTTATAATTAAAATGAAAAACACAACAAAATACCTCGGTATCATAATTGATCCAAATTTGAAATGGGCATTATATCCTACCTCTCTTTTATATAATAAAAAATTACTTTGTATAAGAACATTATATTATCTGTCATTTATGGAAAGCCTGAATTGAGATACACTACAAATTATTTGCAATAAATATCAAAAGACGTATTCATTTTTAAATAATTTGACATTTAAGAGCCTTTCACATATCACAGTTGATATCTTGATACTTGACAGGCACAGCCAAACATTATTCTGATTTTTGCCAAATAAAATGGCCGGTTAATTATTCTATGGGGTTGCGACAGAGAAATTTGATGAATGTGTCTCTGTGGCTAGAGGCGAAATAGTAGTACGGTTAGGGCCGATTCCACCGTTGTGTTAAACGGAGATTAAAATGACATTGTTAATGTAAAAATGTCATTTTAAACTTCGTTTAACACAACGGTGGAATCGGTCCTTAATAGCACCACCATAAAAAAGTCATTTTTTAAGAAACTGCTTATATAATTTTCATAAATTGGCAGGCTTGGTGACTAATTCCGAATGAAAATAGCCTTCAAAATGGCTATGATTGCCAAGTATAAAGGTCGCAACCCACCTTAGAAATTTCACCTTTACTATCAACAGCTGTTGTTTGACAGGTCGTTAGAGAATGTTTGCAATTTATGGAATGTAAAGAATGTTAAGAATTTTGACTTTAGAAATAATTGAAATTCCTAAAATTATGTCACACAAGGAATGCATAGGCGGATTTTAAGAAAATTAATATTAAAGTAGTTAGGATGAACCGAAAATTCTGAAAATCAATAGGGTTCTAAGTTAGAAGTAATTATTCAAGAAAATCAAAACTGCAAGTCAATCAGAACTTTCGTTCTAGAGTTATCGTGCCGGCATACATACATACATACATACAGACGACCAGACGAAAAATTTTTTTTTGCATTTTCGGAATCAGTAATCAGAAACATGAAAAAAAGTTTTAAAAAAATGGGGATCAGAAAATTTTTTCGTCTGCACGAATGCAATACTGAGGCCCCATAGGAAGGTAATTATTGCCGTTATATATCGCATTTCCTGAATCTAGGGCAATAATAATGACTATCTCCCTAAAACAAATATCAGCGACTACTTCTTTAGAGAAATAGTCAATATTTGATCTAGTGAAATAGTCATCTCAAATATTACACAATTTGATTCGACATCATTTTGGCAATAGTAATTACAGGATTAAAAATCTCGAGCTTAAACTTTTGGGCTCTAATCCGATAATGCCTAAATTGTGTCTCATCAAATTGTCATTAAAATATTCTCGAGATTTAGACGCAACAAAAATAGCTAAATATATAAAGGTCTTGGTATATTACCCTTGATAAAAATCCCTAGGTTAGTATATTCCTATAATGATGTAGGGTGATATATATTATAATACTTTGGACTTACTAACATAATGATCAAACCTAATAACATATGTATAATTTTTAATATTAGTGGTAAAAAAATCAGTTGAGAAGTGAAATTATAAACTTCGCACATTATATTTTGAGGCTCCGTTTATGATAATTTATTTCTCAACCTAGGTATATAATGTACTAAGTATTAGGTACTGAACGATTTAAACATCTAAAGTCAAATTTATTTAATTTAATGTTTCATGTTTTAGATTCCACGAGATAGAACTTTTTGGGCTAACCAGATGATTGAAAAACTGAAAATATTTTTTTTAATTGCTTATTTCCGTATTAATTTTTTCATACATCGTTGTAAAGAGGCTTCCAAGACCCTACAAATGAAGTATCACTTAACCCATGTTTCCTATTTAATTTTGAGAGGTTGAAGCGCCCCCTCATAGTTGCTCGTTCAAGCCTCAAATATACGTCAAAAGATGTCCCCCAAAGAAAATCATCCGACGTGTTACGGGAAATTTTTCCAATTACTATGGGATAAGAAATATACGGGGTGGCTCGTCTGAAATGGAACACCCTGTATAACAATAACAGTCACAAAATCCTGGATATTTTCCGAAGAAATAGAGCAAATTAATTAATTAATTTTTGATTATGTTCCATTTTATAGTATTATTTTCTTTATAATTAAATTTCTTATTTTTTGTATTATTTTTTGTTATTGGATGTATACAGTGTTGAAAATAAATTCATTATTATTATAATGGATATTATGTAATAAATTAAAATATAAATACACAGTACATACCTTATTTTTGTTCTTGATTATCAAATCGACATAACTGTTTGTATTTTCACGAACTATTTCATCGGATGTTGAGTCTGGAGGAAAAAATGGCCTGTAAACAACAACTCCCGCTGAATAACTCTGAAAGTAGATTTGTTAATGTTATTTACATTTTCTCGCCGTTTTAATATATTTTTAGGCTTTTATGGTAGATAAAAAAAATATGCAGGAAATAAGTTTTGTTAAAGTCAAAATGAGTACAAAAAAAAACTTGATAACAATTTTAATAAGAACTAATAGATGAGTTATATATAAACGTTTTAATTACCTGAGCCCTCACACTATAGATAGTAATCAGAATGATGCAGACTGAAAAAAAAAATTCTCTTATTTTCTATTTTCCACAAGATAAGATCTGTGCTTAGAAGATAAACTGCACTTATGTTGACATACAGGAAATTATGCAAATTAAAATAAAAATAGGAAGTTTTATTAGTTAGGTTGGTGTTTAAAAACTTTTATGTATATTTGTTTTACCAGTGTAGATGCAATTTGATTATTCTTTGTGATATAATCTAATAAATGATAATTATTAAAAATATATTAAAAAAAATGTCGCCAAGTCAAGATTTAAAATAAAAAGATTTATACAGTCCACTTACAATTATTATTATTAAACTATTTGAACCAGCCAGAAGTTTACAGTTTAAACAGTTGGTAAAAAATACATAAATATTGTGACAATACATTTTTTTGTCAAAATATAGTAATAAGTAATTATGGAGCCCAAAAAATGCTCAAACAACATTCAATCTGCTCTACTGAGTAGTTGAGTAGAATGATATAATGTAGTTTATCTCCGAGGCACAGAGATATAAACAGAAGAAATTAAAATTAATATCGCATATCTATAGTTTCACAGTTTTAGTTTAACATTCATACCAGAAAATTGAGCACATAAAAACTGACAAAAGGAAGTTCCCAAAATGGTAAAAAAATCCCAATAAGTCAATAGAAATTCTGGATTAGTAAAGGTTAGCAGGACAACGTAAGAGTGTGATCCTACTGGATAAAATAACAATTTGATACTTGAAGGTGTTATAAAATAAAGGTAAACAAATAATAATCTGTATTTAAAACTATTCTGATATTTAAAAAAGTTATGTATACTATTTTTTGTAGCAAAAGGCACTTCTTTGGACTTTAAAATATTCACTAGAAATAATCATCCTGACAAATATAAGACAAAAGTTTAGAATATGTTTTAATGTAAAAGTCTTACGATTTAAATAAGATGTATATAAATAGAACATACACCTCCAATAGAATGGGTTTACATAGTATATAGTAGAATATGATAATATTGAATATAGGATAGATTAACATAGCATAGAACTGATATATAATAGAATAACGTAGAATAGAGTAGGTCAAATAAGAATAGCGTAAGTATAGAATAGGTTTAGTTATAATAGCATAGTTTTAGGGTAAGATAGAGTAGAATAGTTTAAAATATGATAGAACTAGTATAGGATAGAATAGTTTAATTTACGGTAGAATATGTTGGTGGGTACTGCAGCAGTGGTATGCGTAGATCGGTAGAGATACGTTGTAAATGTTTTAATTAAAGATTAAGATCAACTTTTTGACAACCCTTTTTATTTTTTCTATTTTGTCACACTATATATATATTAGTTAACAACATACATAACTACTAACTACAAAAATAAACACTTATAATATAAGTATCACAGAACATATTCTAACACCCCCTCTTGATGTGATACTTCTAAGTTACAAGTCCTATCAACTGAATATTTTTTTTCAATTTGTCGGGCGTCAAAGATTTGGTTAGCATGTCGGCGGCCATTTCATCTGTTCTGACTGAATGGAATTGGACTTCACTGTTTAGACATTTTTCTCTTACAAAATGATACTTGATGTCTATGTGCTTTGTTCTTGGCCTAAAACATTCACTTTTTGCGAGATCCACAGCACCTTTATTGTCACAGTAAATAACAATATTGCTTTGAAATTGTCCAATTATTTCACCCAATAAACTCTTTAGGAATATAGCCTCTTGGGTTGCATTTGTAAGGCTCATGTACTCAGCTTCAGTAGTGGATAACGCAACTGTAGACTGCTTTTTTGACATCCAGCTTATAGCTCCTGTACTGAGGACAAATACATAACTTGCTGTTGATTTTCTGTCTTCTAAATCACCTGCCCAATCAGAGTCGCTATATCCATGCAAAACATCATCATTTTTCTTGTACAATAACTTGTAATTGGAGGTTTTTCTTAGGTATCGGAATACTCTTTTGACTCCTTGCCAATGTTCTTTACCAGGATTCTGGCTAAATCTGGCCAGCTTTCCTACAGCGAAACAAATATCAGGACGTGTGCACTGTGCTGCATACATAAGGCTTCCTATAGCTTCCTGATAAGGAAAACTTGTCATTGCTTCACGTTCTGCAGCAGTTTGAGGCATCATTTCTTTAGTTAGCTTTTGATTGTAATCCATGGGGGAGTTTATTCCATGGCAATTAGTCATTCCAAACCTGGCTAGTATTTCTTCAATGTATTTTTCTTGATCTATAGTAATGGTACCAGCTTCAAGATCCCTATGTATTCTAATTCCTAGACAATAATGTATTTCACCTAGGTCCTTCATCTGGAACCTCTTCGATAGTTCTTCTTTTAAATACATTTTTTGCTTATCATCGTCTGAGAATATAATAATATCATCTACAAAAACTGCTAAAATAATGCGCTTTCCATCTGTACAATTAAAATATATACAGGGGTCATACTTAGATTTTTGAAAGTTTATATCTTTCAGGGCAGAGTCTAATTCTTGATTCCATGCTCTGCTTGCTTGTTTGAGCCCATATTTATTTAGCTTGCATATTTGACCATCAGGCAGTTCCATATAAATTTCTTCTTTTAATTTTGGGTGAAGAAAAGCAGTAACAACGTCCATTTGGTCAACTTGCCAGCCAAATTTTGCAGATAAGGCTAATAACAGTCTAATTGAACTGTATCTGACAACTGGGGAATATGTTTCTTCATAGTCGATACCCTGTGTCTGCGAGTACCCTTTTGCAACAAGACGTGCTTTGTATCGCTCTATTTCTCCAGTTGCAGTTAGCTTTGTCTTGAAAACCCATTTACTCTTTACTGGTTTTCTATGTGGTGGGAGTTCACAATTAGTCCAAGTATTATTTTTCTTATGAGCTCTTAATTCTTCTTCCATCGCTTCCACCCAATATGTAGAGTTTTCACTGGACAAGGCTTCTTGAATCGATTTAGGATCACTTGAAGATTCGGTCATAACTTGATATATATAGTCTTCATTAAATATTCTTTTATTAGGAACTCTTACTCTAGTAGATCTTACGTTTTTAATTTCAGATTCCTCGGGGTTTTCTGTCTCAGATATTATTTCTTTTTCTGTCTCGGTTTCGGGTTCTGTTTCTGATTCACAGTTACTCAAATTATTTTCACATGTAGAGTCCCCCTCTTCAACAGGAGTTTCTATTAACTGGAACTGCTGTTGAATATCGTTTTGTGAAAAATTATTGGGTAATTCAGAGTTATATACGTCCGATTCTATAAAGACAGCATCTCTTGCTAGTATTAATTTCTTTGTTTGAGAATGGATAAAGCGAAAACCTTTAACATTTTCACTGTACCCTACAAAAATATATTCTTCAGCTTTTGGATCTAGTTTTTGTCTTTTTTCTTTTGGAATATGAATAATTGCTTTACATCCAAAAACATGTAGATGAGATAAATCTGGTTTTATTCCAGACCAGGCTTCTTCAGGGGTCATTTTGTCGAGAGCTTTAGTTGGAGCACGGTTTTTAAGATAAGTAGCAGTATTTACAGCTTCAGCCCAAAACTCTTTACCAAGGTTTGAGTTTATTAACATACTACGGGTATACTCAACTAAGGTTCTGTTTAACCTTTCGGCCACACCATTTTGTTGGGGACTGTACGGAACTGTCATCTCGTGCTTTATACCATGTCTTTTAAGATACTCTTGTAAAGGTTTGTTCTTATATTCGGTTCCATTATCGGTTCTTAGGCATTTAATGTTGTTTCCAGTTTCTTTTTCTACGGCAGCTTTATATTCCATAAATTTTTCATAAACTTCTGTTTTAGACTTTAAAAAATAAACTGCTGATTTTCTACTAAAATCATCTGTAAATGTAAGGAAATACTTCGCACCACCAATGGATTTTTGAGATAAAGGACCGCAAAGATCTGAATGAACTAATTCAAGACGATTTCTGGCTCTTCTACTTGCAGACTTTTCAAATGGTTTTCTGCTAGATTTTCCTTTTATGCAAATTTCGCATTGATTACTGACATTTTCTGTAGGAAAATTTAGACCAGACGAAATGTTTCTGAGAAGTTTCATATAACCTTGATTTAGATGTCCCAACCTAGCATGCCAGAGCTTGAAGTTATCTTCTTCATTTACAGAATTTGCTAACAAAGGAATACAATTTAATCGATACATGCCATTTACTTCTGATGCAGTACCAATTACGTCTTTTGGATTAAGTTGAAATTTATTACTTGTAATACGGCAACCGTATTCTTTGTCAAAAATTATTGAATTACCATGTTTAACCATTTGGCTGACAGAAAGCAAGTTCATAGTTATCCCAGGGGAATGGACAACATCGTGAATAATTCCGGTTCTGTTATTTTCTAAACATAGTTCGACATCTCCTTTGCCTGTGCATTGTATTTTTTGTCCATTAGCAACTGAAAGAGTTTTACCGAATTCTTCTTGGAAATTTTTCAAATAACTCTTTTCAGAGGTAAAATGAGCTGTGGCTCCTGAATCAACGAACCATTCATTTGCAGAAAATATTGTAGAATTGCATGTTAAGGCGACTGGTGCAATTGCAGTTTTTTCTTTTTTTGGTTTTGTACAGTTGATGGATTTGTGATTGTAGCCATTGCAGTTGTAACACCGGATACCTTTTCTAAATCTATACGGTTTCTGACTGGTTGATTTACTGGAAAGTGCTAATTCTTGGTCTTTTGCTTCAATTTCTTTAACATTTTGTTGCAATAACAGATTTTTAACAAATTCGGTGGATGTTACTTGTTTTGAGCCTTGAACTCCAAGTATTAAAGGTTTATATTCTTCAGGCAACCCACCTAATATAATTCCACCAACAACATTGTCTTTAAAAGGCTCTCCTATATTCTCTAATTGCTCAGCGATTTGAATAATTTTATTTACATAATCTTCCATTGATTTACACATTTCAAATCGGATTTTAAACAAACTAGAATAAAGGCCAATCAAACGAACAACACCAGAGTCTTCATAAACACTTCGCAGC